TATTTTAATTAAAAAATAATATGTAGTTAAATTTAATTCTTTATAAAATTAAATTACACATTGATTATTTTTTGACCAATGATAATGATTAATACATTATAATTTATTCGAACCTGGTCCTTTAGACCAAGTGGCTTTGCACACTCTTGTAAAATTCATATCCTCCTCCTTCGGGGCAACGGTTTGAGCCGGCCCATGACAAAAATGTTCAAAAAAAATATATTATAATTTATTCTCTTAATTTTGTGAATATAATCATTTTTTTAAAATCTTGCCAAACTTTAAGCAGGTAATAGGAAAAAAAATTAAATTCAATTAATCAAACTAAATGAATACAATGTCAACACCTTCCTTTTTATTACTCCATTCATCTCAAAATAATAATTATTTTTAAATTATGCACATAAATTAATAAATATGAAATATGAGATTTAACTACGAAGTTAAATGAAAAAGAAAGAAATTAATGCATCTTAAAAAAAAATAAAAATCACATTTAATTAGGGACAAATATTTAGTTAAAAATATTAACTATTACAAGATTAAGGGAGTAAATTATAATAAGTTGAACATACCTAATTTAATTTGTGAGCTAGGATAGTGCCGGTCAATCTCACCTCTTAAAAAAAATTATAAAATTAGGATTTAAAAAACCCAAAACTATGTTGTGTTAATGAATATTAATTTACCAAAAAAAACTAAAATGACCCATTCTCTTTCTCAAAATAAGTTATTGTAGTCTTTTTAATAGTTATTCATTAAAATAATATAGTTTTGAGATTTTTGAACTCTTAATTCTTGAAAGATAAAATTCATATGTATTTTTTTCCTTAATTTATATAGTATTAAATTTATAATCTTCGAAAAAAAATGTGAAGTGACGCCAGGAAGAAAATGGGATCTTAATGGGTGCGGTAGACTAACAATTTTTTTTTTTTGATGAGATAGATGGTTAGAAAGTTAGTAGAGTTAGTTTGTTAGTAGCTGAAATTTTTTCAGGAAAGTGAACGTCCCACCCCCTCATTTGAGGCGCGCAACCATTAGGTCGCAAGTTGGTGGAGTTCACGGCGGTGACAGAGCTCGAAGCCCTGACCTCCGCCTTGCCTCACCCAAGCCCTAAAATTTGTGGGCCAACCAATTGGGCCACAGGCCCGGTTGACAACAATTGTCTTCTTTTAAAAGTTAAAAATATATACATATATATATTTAAAGAGTTAAGATCAACCTATATTAGTATAAATGTTATATTAATTTTTAATTATTTATTTTAAAATTATAATAATTAATTTAATACTAAAATTTTCAAAATTTTTTAAAATTTTTAAAATGTGTGATTAAAAATTTGTGTAAGAATTTCTCAAACTTAATCAATGTAAGTTTGTTGGCAAGAAAAATAAAAAAATCAGTGTATGTTGATCCGTATTCATTTTTAAATGTGAAATGACAGAGATAACGAAAAAATTAACGCCGTTAGTGACACTTTACTGACGGTGCTATGGTCAGGACCCCAATGACCCTTAAATGCTAGAAGGACCATAATGAACAATTCCTAAGTACAAGAATATTAATAAACTAAATCACAAAGTATAGGGACTAAAGCTAGTTTTAACCCAAGTATCTTCTTGCCTTGATTGGGTCATGTGAGTCCTGCAAGTCCAATGTTCGTAAAGGTAAAAAGGCAACAATTTGGCATATCCCTACAGAAGAAAACAAGCTGGGATTTCTTTCTAGATGGAAGTTATCAACTCGCCCATTTTACTCCAATCCAATACATTTACATGAAAACATAAGAAAGAAAAAAGGGGGAAAAAAATAAAAAGACAAAAAGGAAACTCTTCTTTAACGAAAGTGAAAAAATTCAAAAGGATTTTAACATGTATCGAGAATGATTGAACATGCTCCTTTGACTGAGGGAATGCTAAGTTAATTTTATTAAAGTTATTAATTTTATTTAAAATATTTTAAAATTTTAATTGTTTTAAATTATAAAATATTAATTTATAAATAAAAAATTTTAATAATATAAGCTCTTGTTAATTAAAAATTTTTTATTTTACATTTTAAATTGTAAAATTCTTATACTCATCTACTTATAATTTTTTAAATAATTAATTATAATATTTAAAAATATCTATTAGTAAATTATTTTTAATATATTAAATATTAATTATTTTACTAAATATTAATTTTTTTAATAATTAAATAAAAATAAAAATTTAACAATTTTAATAATCTTAACAAAAATATAAAATTATAGTAGCCACAGGGTCCCTAACAATGCCTGCTCCTTTGAAGCAGAACTGCACAAATCTTAATACAAAGGACAATCTTGAAATAAAAAGTAAAAACCCAACTAAATTCATCAAATGGTCAAATTCCAATCAGTGCATGACACTCCCAATTCCCACCACCTCCAAAAACAATTCGAATTTTTTAAACAAATGAAAATTTTAAAAATGAACAAGATAAAATAAAAAATTATAAAAGCAAAATAAAATACATCACCACAATCAACTGCGCACTTTATCACTCTACTTACGCTCCGTGCGCATTTTAAGAATGGTCCTTTTTACCTTTGCCTTTTCCTTTTCCTTTTCCTTTTCCTTTTTTTCTTTTTTTCTATGGTGTGACTGATCTGGGTGGGGTCCTTGATCCGGTGGGAGGAGTATGACCGTCTGATCCTTTTGATGGATCATCAGACGACTGCCGCAATCCGTCATCGGTGTCCCCTCTGTTGATCTCCTCAATCATGCGGACCACCTCTGCCATGTTGGGTCTTTGATCTGGTACTGTGGACACGCATGACATTCCGATTTGCAGCAGCTGCACCATCTCCTCCTCTATGTTGTTATACCCCATCAATTCCACGTCGAACACCTCCGCGGTCCATTCTTCCCGGACCACCGATTGCACCCACCGCGGAAGATCGATCCCTTCTTCACCTAAAGACGCTTGATTAGGTGCTTTGCCGGTTAATAGCTCTAGCAGCAACACACCGAAGCTGTACACGTCGGACTTGAATGTGACCTTCCGGGTCTCCAGGACTTCTGGTGCACGGTAACCAGCCACTCGGCTGGGCGGCATGGTGTTGCCAAAGAGGGGGTTGAGTCCGAAATCTGAAATGCAGGCATCGTGTTCGGGTTTTAACAGGATATTGGAGGACTTGATGTTGCCGTGGATCACTTTCCCGGCAATGTGAAGGTGCGCTAGGCCTCTTGCGGCACTGAGTGCAATTCTCATCCGGTTGTCCCAGTCCAACGGGGTCCGCCCGGAGCCCCTGCTACCTGCAATCCCATTACCCAGAAATTAATGTCGGTCGGCTGTTTCCTACGCAAAAATATTATTAGACAAAAAGACAGTCGCCAATTCAGGTTCTGGGCATGTTTTCCACAGAAGAAGATTTAAATTTTCTGGTTTTTTTATCAGTCAAGATGAAAAATTTCTGCTCCTTCAATAAATGCTCCCACTTCATATCATCATTTGTAAATATACTAATTTTCCCTAAAACCAAGTAAATATTCCATTTTTCTTGAATGAACAATCTTAGAGCTAAAGTCCTAAATTACATGTTGTATTCCAAGAAATTCTCGAATTTTGACACCCAAATTTCAATAATCGATAATGGGTATTGGAAAATGGCAATAAAAATGTAAAATTGAAAAAAGAAGAAATCGCCGGAAAACTTACCGTGAAGCAGAGCAGACAAGCTACCGTCGCGCATGAAATCGTAAACCAGGAGCTTCTCGTCTTTGGAATAGTAATAGGCCCTCAAGGGTACTACATTTTCGTGTTTGATCTTGCCCAGAACTTCCATCTGCATTTCGAATTCTTTCTTGCTCACTACCACGTCTTTCAATCGCTTTACGACCACCGTGGTTCCTTCCTCCAGCACCGCCTTGTAGGAGGTACCGACGCTACCCTTTCCCAGTACTTCTGCAGAAGCCCTCAATAAATCTTCCAAATCGAAACTGTAAATCCCTCCTTCGAAGAACACCAGCCTGTTCCTCTCCGCCTCTGCCGACCCACCAATGATATCGTCCTTTGACGACGATGTTCCCGCCTCTGCCGCAACCGTGCGCGGCATTACAGGTGGTTTCTCCGGCTTCGGTTGCAGCCGCTTCTGCCTCCTCAGACACAGAATGAGGCACAGCAGTAATAGGAAAGCGACGATGGCAGAGGCAACTGCGATGGCAATAACGGCTGCGGTTGAGAGTTTCTTGGACTTCTTTTGGGGAATGGCCGGCGGAGAGGGTAGAATCGGGGATGGGGCTGGAGAGGGGAAAAAGGGATTGCACGGCGGAAGCGGACCGCCGCAGAGATCTAGGTTTCCCGTGAATGCCGATGCAGGGAATTTGGCCAGAGTGTCTGGGATCAAACCGTTGAGATTGTTATTGGAAACATTGAAGTCCACCAAATCACCGGGGTTGATGCTTGGCAGATTCCCGGAGAACTTGTTATTCGCCAAGAAAAGTCTAGTCAAGTGGGTCAAATTGTTGACGGCGAAAGGGATAGAACCCGAAAAGTTATTGGAAGACAGATCAAGCCGATTTAAGCGAGTTAAACGAGTGACACTATCCGGAAACTCACCAGTAAACTTGTTATCCTGCAAATAAAGACTGCGGAGAAGGGTCATGTTGGAGAAATCGGCGGGGATCTGACCGGAAAGACGATTAGAACGGAGACTCAATACTCGGAGCTGTCCCAGTTGACCGAGAGTGTTGGGAGGGATTGGACCCACAAGGCCTACTCCGGGGAGGCGGAGGGTGAACACGAATGAGCGATTCCCGTCACACTGAACCCCCATCCAGTCGCAAGCTGAAACAGATTCGTTCCATTGCAACCGGTTGGCGTGCGGCGTCTGCCGGATGAAGGCAAGGAGAGCTTGCTTGTCCTGTACCGGCTCCGAGTCCACCCGCCCACCCAGTATCAGAACCGAAACCAAAAACAGAACAAAACTCACGGCCATTGGATTTGACAACTCCGTAAACACGACAGAAATGAAAACAATTGCAATTGCCCCTTTTCTTTCGCCGTTCTATATCTCTGTTTCTGTCGGCGAATTACAACGGCGGTTTCGGACAGGCCCAAAAGCGGTTTCCCGGCAAGAATCCATGAAATAATGAGAAGGAACAGGGAAAGCAGACGATGAGAGAGAGGGATATATCACGAGCACACAAAAGTGAAATTGAAGCTAAGTGAAAAGTTAGACAGGAGCAGCCTTGCTGGCAGAATAGAAGTGGAAGCATTTTATTATTATTATTATCACTCCCTCTGCCTCTGTTCCACTTTAATAATTCTAGAAACAAATGAGGTTTGGAGGATGGATGCTATTATCTTACAAAATCTTATTGTGATGTGGTTCTGATGTTAAAATTATTGTTATTCTTTATTTTAAATTTATTTGAAATTAATTATTATTTCTTATTTTTTAAAATAAATATTTTTTATTTTAATTTTATGATTATTTATTTTAATCAATTATTTTATTATATAAAATTATGAGGTTTGGAGGATGGATGCTATTATCTTACAAAAT